ACACAGACACAGACACAGACACAGACACAGACACAGACACAGACACAGACACAGACACAGACACAGACACAGACACACAGACACAGACACAGACACAGACACAGACACAGACACAGACACAGACACAGACACAGACACAGACACAGACACAGACACAGACACAGACACAGACACAGACACAGACACAGACACAGACACAGACACAGACACAGACACAGACACAGACACAGACACAGACACAGACACAGACACAGACACAGACACAGACACAGACACAGACACAGACACAGACACAGACACAGACACAGACACAGACACAGACACAGACACAGACACAGACACAGACACAGACACAGACACAGACACAGACACAGACACAGACACAGACACAGACACAGACACAGACACAGACACAGACACAGACACAGACACAGACACAGACACAGACACAGACACAGACACAGACACAGACACAGACACAGACACAGACACAGACACAGACACAGACACAGACACAGACACAGACACAGACACAGACACAGACACAGACACAGACACAGACACAGACACAGACACAGACACAGACACAGACACAGACACAGACACAGACACAGACACAGACACAGACACAGACACAGACACAGACACAGACACAGACACAGACACAGACACAGACACAGACACAGACACAGACACAGACACAGACACAGACACAGACACAGACACAGACACAGACACAGACACAGACACAGACACAGACACAGACACAGACACAGACACAGACACAGACACAGACACAGACACAGACACAGACACAGACACAGACACAGACACAGACACAGACACAGACACAGACACAGACACAGACACAGACACAGACACAGACACAGACACAGACACAGACACAGACACAGACACAGACACAGACACAGACACAGACACAGACACAGACACAGACACAGACACAGACACAGACACAGACACAGACACAGACACAGACACAGACACAGACACAGACACAGACACAGACACAGACACAGACACAGACACAGACACAGACACAGACAGACAGACATCATCGCGAAAATAGTCAAAACGGATTCAGGGGACCTCAAAACGTAAAAATTCGTCGAAAACTCGAGGTCGAAAAAAATCATGATTCCTATACTTTCCTTATATCTGTATACAGATAGGAAAGTAAAAAGTTTTTAATTGAGGAACCAGATCGAATACTCGTTGTGCTTAATTCATCTATTTTTTTTAGATAACATTAATTCTTTAAGGACCGATTCCACAGTTGTGTTTAACGAAGTTTAAAATGACATTTTTACATTAACAATGTCATTTTAATCTCCGTTTAACACAACGGTGGAATCGGCCCTAACAGAGTGATTCTATTACAATTTATTGATGTATTAATTAATTGTGTACTCTCCTGGAAAACACCTCCAACTATGATAGTTGGATCTAGAAAAATAGATTAAACTGATAATAACTGGCATTAAAAATGCAAATATACTTCCCAACTGTAATTTTGAACGCGTTTGAATGTGTTTTAGATATGTCAATAATACCATAAACAATCCTGTAATAAGACTCTTATAATAATTTGACAACTCGGTGGATAAATCCGTGATTGTTTGCAATTCAATTTTTGTAAACAAAATTAATCTAATAGTTGTTCGTCGTTGATAGAAAAGCATCACCAATAAATGGCGAAACGATTTATTACACTGTTTTACACTAGCACTAACGTTCACTGCACTAGCTCAAATGGCTTTTCTTTCTAGTCTTTTGTTGAGTGCAGAGTTGTCCAGTAATTCCATTTCTTCACTTGTGCCTGGGCCCCGGAAATTTGTCCTCTCGTCAGCCCTGGTGACATGACAGTTTTGCCGGTTATAAAATGGCGGACCTGAATATGCGCAAAAAATATTGTATCCTAAAAATTAGCTATTCTTAGCTTCTATAATATGTAGGTTATTATGTGGTGTTACTTGAAAGTAGTGCATTTTGTTTATCTAAATTATGTTTTAAATTTATTTCTAGAGTAAGTAGATAACATGCATTAAGTATATAATCGTTTAGTAATCAATTACATACCATTAAACCACTTTTTATGACCTGCAAACAATATTTAATATAAAAATAAAAACTGTAAAAACTTATATGTCAAATATATATTGTTAAAAGTTTGGTTAAAATTAACTGTCAGTGGAACCAAAATAACGTCACACTTTTATGGCGTATTATTTGATAGGTCGTTGGAATGCCTAATAATTGTAAATAAATTAAATATATTGTTTTAAAATAAATAAACGTTAAAGTACATGCGCGCTTACCTTAAGTGTAATCCAGGATGCACTGACAAACAAAGAAACGATCGTGTGTGCCTTCCTAGACAACACGCCACACGAATTTGTAAAAAGAGCACTTGCATACAGAGGAGTAAATAACATCACATCCAGATGGATGGCTCAGCTGTTATCTACGAGAACTGCAGAGACACAGATAGGGCAGGACACCATCTCCATCTGCACAACCAGAGGATGTCCACAAGGAGGAGTTCTATCCCCACTAATGTGGAGCCTAATCGTAGACGAACTTCTATGCCTGGAACTCTGTGTCATGTAGAATTCTACTTATCGCTTTCTACAATGGAATCGATTACTTTCTTTTGTGATAATAATACGTTATTAACCGCACGGGAAATATCGCAATGTGGTTTCTTATGAAACTAGTTATCCTGTAGTAAGTATATACTCGTTGGTTTTCCGCTATGTTACACAGAGTGCCACAAAAGAATCTATTGTAGAAAGCGATAAGTAGAATTCTACATGACACAGAGTTCCAGCCCTCTGAGTGACCTCGGCATACCCTGTCAAGGTTATGCCGACGACATAGTCATATTTGCTAGTGGCAAGTTTAGTAATATCCTGTGTGATATAGTCCAACGAGGACTACAACATACCAAACGAACGTTCCGTAAAGTATAAACCCTACAAAAACAACACTAGTAGCCTTTTCAAGGAAAAGAAAACTTAATCTCAAAACCGTTAAATTAGACGGGATAGATATAGAATGGAAAAATGAAGTCAAATATCTAGGCCTAACCCTGGACAACAAACTTCTCTAGAACACACATGAGAAGGAAGTAGTAAATAAGGCCACAAAAGCCCTAATGGTATGCAGAAACATTGCAGGTAAACAATGGGGATGTAACCCAAACATACTGCGATGGATGTATACTGCAATAGTGAGAGCAATCATCACTTACGGGGCTATAACCTGGAGTAACAGAACTAGTCTAGCTACTACGAGAGCTAATATCTCAAAAGTACAAAGACTAGCCTGTGTTTGCATTACTGGTGCAATGAGATCCTGTCCTACGACCGCAATGGAGGTGATCTTAAACCTCACCCATCTACATTTGATGATAGAGAATGTGGCAAAAAGGACACGATATAAAATGATCAGGAACGGAGTAATCAGACGAAAGTCTACTTGCTTCAGGACTAAAGATACCTGGGACATGCCACAGGACGAAATGCAAAAGAAGTACACTTTTGTGAAAAACTTCAAAACCACAGAGCTGGGCTGCAAGAAAGAATGGAGCCAAGAATCCATCGCGCTTGCAACCGAAAGACGCGCTATTCAGTGGTATATGGACGGTTCCAAAACCATAGAAGGAACTGGAATAGGAGTGTATGGGCCGAGAACCAAGCACTCCGAAAGTTTGGGAAAATACCCAAGCATCTTCCAGGCGGAAATGCACGCCATCGAGTAGTGTATCCAGTTTAACATCGAGAGAAATTATCATAGATAAGAGATTATCATCATGTCCGATAGTCAAGTAGTCATCAAAGCGCTGAGCTCTTACGGAATCAGCTCAAAAATGGTCTGGAGATGCCTAGAACAATTGAATGAGCTAGGCGAGAAAAATAGAGTTACTCTCACTTGGGTCCCGGGACATAACGGGGTACAGGGTAACGAGATTGCAGATAGTCTTGAAAGGAAAGGGGCTCAAACACCCTTTGTAGGACCTGAGCCGTTCTGCGGTATCAGCAGTAACATATTAGGAGAGATTAAAAAAGAATTGGGCAGTAGAATAACCGATGATTGGAGCAGTCTTTTGGGGCTGAGACAGGCCCAGATACTTCTGGGTGAATATAACCAGAAAAGATCGGAAGCCTGCATTTGCCTGAGCAAGAACAGGCTACGTATTGTAACAGGGATCCTTACCGGGCATTGCCGACTAAAAGGACACCTAAGTAAACTGAGAGTAGTAGAGGATAGTGAGTGCAGATTCTGTGAGGAGGAGGACGAAACCTCCATTCACATCCTAACTGAATGTGTAGCACTCTAGAATCCAAGGGCACTATATCTAGGAGGATATCAAATAGAAGAGGGAGATTGACCTAACTTGAAGCCACTTCAAATCCTACACTTCCTTGAGAAAATAGGATTGGAAGGGTCGCTATAGGCATTGAGACATTTCTTTAGTGCAGTGGCGACAGAAGGGGGTACAATAGATCTTTTAGGTCGCAGTGTATTAACATCCCATTCTCAACATACCTTAAGTGTTCCTTTTTTGTTTAAATGTGCACGTAACCTCAGTATAATTAATAATACAGTAGCGACACCTTGAGTCGGCTCCTTTGATGTCGAGGTGGTCAGATTTTTATTGACAGTTGACGTTTTTGTAGCTTATTTCTACAATGAAATAAGTAACTTTAAAATATCTTGACCCTTTGTCTGTTTGAATAAAATTATCACACAATAAATGAAAGATGAAAACTAAGTCTAAATGTAATAAAAATATATTAAAATGTGCATTACAACCAATCAGATAATTAAAACAATCAACTACCATTAATCCATTGACAATTCACATATGCCAGTTTGACGTATTTGCCACTTATTTACGGACATGCGCTACTGTATTATTACTTATACTGGGACGTAACACTAAAGAGGAGATGAAGGTAAACAATAAAGCCAGATAACTTATAATAGATTTATTCTTTTCCGCTTCTATATTAAAATCAATAAATATTTATACATAGCAAAATAGTTTCTTTTTATAAACATTAAACTTAAAATATAAAAAGGTATAGTAGAAGGTTTTTTTGGTCATGTTTTCTTTCGCGATTGTACATATTTTCCTAATAACGGAACTTTAAATAATATAGTACGTTTTAATAATCCGAATAATACATTTAATTTACAAATAAACAGAATTATTCTTAATTAAATGCATAACGTTTAAGTGTAAAATTGGCACCTCGGTAATTTGAAATCACAGTGTGTTTAATTTAGCCCTTTTGAAATAGTATTTAAACTAATATCATAGTACATAATCCCTGAAATTTTTTAAATATTTAAGTATCAGTTCAGACTTAGATCCGTTATAAAATAAAAATGACAAATTGCAAAAACTACTTCTGAATTCCACATTATCCTGAATTGTAAAAGAATACAAAAATACATTTCTAGTATTCACATCATCAGAAGAACGTCACTTTTCATAAACAAAGGCACTAAATCACAATACTACATCAAAATTTTGATTCAATCGTCTTTCTTTTCGTTCAATTCTTTAATTTCTTTATCACCATTAGTTAGCCCATATTTCGTTGCGTAATCTTCCTTCGCGACATCTGCCAACATCTCAGCTAAGTTTGGACCAGTTTCCTTCACCATTTTACTTAGATATCCTTCTGGGTTTTGCATAAGTAGATGGGGATGGTCGAATTCCATCGCTTGTCCAGCATCCATAACCAGAACTCTGTCGGAATCCATGATGGTATTAAGTCTATGGGCGATTGTAAGTACGGTGCAGTCTTTGAATCTCTCGCGAATTGTTTTTTGAATTAAAGCATCAGTTCTGTAAAAAAAAATTGATCCAAAATCACTTTAGTAAATAATATATTAGAATGTATATAATAGCATTGGATCATGTATTGGAATAGATACGCCTCGTTTACATAAGCAATTGTCGTATGATAATAGGTCCATAATCGCATGCACAACAAACGATGGTACCAGCAGAGGTTGCCACAGTGTCTGTTTCGATTAATCGTATAAGGATAATAATGATTAGTTCCCAATGTTTCAAGGTTCAAGATACTTAATATAGAGCTTAATATTTAACAATTCATTCAAGAATCTGGATCATATTCATAAAATATATCATTTATTTTTTTTCTGCATTGAATCGGTGTTTAAATTAGATGTTTTTAGATTTTGTTCACTAGGATACATCGGTTTAACCATTAAATACTATATTTTAACTGAACATTTGGCAACCCTGTTTGTGTATGTTTTTAAAAGTGTTGTTGGGTGTTTTATTGTAGTGGAATATTCTTGTTTTATTTATTTATATAAAAAAAATTGTCTACAAATGTGATTATACATTTCAAAATAGTAAAGAGATGCATAGTTTTCCGAACATTTTGGACCAAAACCACCCAAAACCAATGCTCGCTATTTTCAGGTGGTTATGTCAAAATCAATCTCATGAAATGTAAATAATGTAGATATCTATGGGCATAACAACTGTGCTAGGGTTTTATTTATTTCTGAATATAAAAATACCTAATTTCAGAAACTGGTTATTTTATGGTATATACATTTACAGGTTATCGAGAGACACTGTCCAACGTCATTGTGGCTGAACAACTTGAAAATAAATGATGAAAATCTCAAAACTGAAATATGCCAAAGTTTGTTCAGATCATTTTTCACCTGAAGATTTATTTAACTATAATAATCGAACATTTTATTTGAAATCCAATGTTCTGCCAATAGAGTAAGTAAACAAGTGTCTTTATATACATACTTTCGTATTGAGATAGGTAAAAGGTAATTTATAAGTATTTATTGCAAACGCCTACTTACATCTAGTTAAACAATTCTTTTTTAAAACTAAGTGTTATTGAGGTCTAAAATACTGTGAAAAATAGCTTAGAACTGTTGTCTCCCAGTTGTAGTTTAACAAACACAAAGTAAACTTTTTTGATTATACCAAACCCATTATTGAAAACATAATTTTTTTTAGTACATACTTCGTTGAGGGAAGTAGTATAGAAAATGTATATGTGGAAACGTATGATGATTATATTTGCTCAGTGCGAAGTTATGGTAGGGGAAGCAAATGCAATACTAGCCCAAGCTGCCGATAATTCGACCAAAAAAGAAGAACAATGTAATAAGCAACCGTAGTTGCTGTGTACTAGAAGTAGAATATCCCAAGGTATCTTCTAAAAAGTAAGTTTTCACTTCTTTTACAAAATTAAATTATTTTTAAATTCTAAGATATTTTAAATTTATTCTTTGTTTAATTTATTCGGGTTTTGTGAATAAGAAAAGGAAACATCAATCCACGTCCTGCACCAATGTGAAAGCCTAACTAGATTGAGGTTTCTAATACTAGATGAAGAAAAGCCTAATAAAAAAAGTCCAAGCTTAGATGACTTACTCTAAAACAAATGGAGTCCCACAATAGATCTGAAAAGGTCGCGGTGGACACGGACAAATAATGTCAAACTCCTTTTAAATCTAATATCTAATCTACCCTTATTTTTGACAAAAGCGTCGTGACATGCCACTCATATTTTGGTAAGCCTTTTTTGTACATTTAGCTATCGCATCGGAATTTTTATAATTTTTACGTAAAAGTCTTCAGTATTTTAAGAAATTCTTCATGTATTGGTTTAATTGGGCATTTAGAAGCAAATTGATATGAAAATATTGTTTAATATTCTAGCTCGGAACCTATATAATAATTGCACATGGTTACAACGTTGCCTAAAATGTTGAATATTGCATAAAACCATGGAAGTGACGCTTCTTTCGAAATATCAGAATTCAATTTCAAGACAAAACGATAAACCCTCTTGGATTATGGAGGAACATAATGATGTTCTCATATGCGCGGGGTACTGCCTACCAATGGGTTTTGAATTGTAACCAATTTTACTGCAGGTAAGGGTCGGTCTTTTCACCTTCAGATAAAGTATCAGGTAATTGTTATCTCCCAGGTAACTTAAAAAGTCACCTTTTCACTTTTGGATAAAGCTAAACGGCAGATAAATCGGTCTAATCTAAAAGATAACTTATCTTACCTCTGAACTTCCTGATAAAGTAGTTAACTGATAGACAAGTAGGTATATGACATAATAAATATTATGCGATACGAGTCAACACATTATTGTATTTGACATTATGGACGTTGTTGAAGATGTTGTGTTTTTGAAAATAGTGGATTATTTATTTGTTTCGTATAGGTAATTTTTTTTTTTTTTTTTCGAAAAAATACTAAGATGTATAATAAAAAAACAGCCTTTACATTTATAAAATAGTTTATGGCAAATAGTGTAAACTAATGCCCTTCGCACCAATATTACATACATACGGAATAAAAAACTACACCTTCGAAATATTCAATTTAATCAAATGAACAATCTATGTTAATTATAATACAATAGACTTAAGAATCAATTTTTTATTAGGCAGTACTGCTTTGTGTTTCAAGCATCCTCTTGCTTATTGAAAGTTGGTCGATGTTTTCTGTTTTGTCACTTGCTTTATGGAGTTTTAAATAACAAATATTATCAGAAATATACAAAAACCTTTCAACTAAGTGACAAAACGAAATAATGACAAGAAGTGACTGTGAGAATGACATATTGCATGTATAAATACATTGATATGAAGGTAGGTACATGACTATAGAACGTTAAAAAGTACCAGATAACTACCCTACAGATTATTTCTCTTGAAAAGACGGAAACCTCATTATCTGTCAGATAGTAACTCTCGGATAATATACCCTTTGGTTAGTTAACTGGAACTTTATCTGAAGGTGAAAAGACCGACCCTTAAAGTAGTTAACTGATGGATAAGTAGGTATATGACATAATAATGTGTGATACGAGTCGACATATTATTTTATTTGCTTTTATGTACGTTGTTGATTTTTTTTTGTAAATAATGGTTTGCCTAATTGTTTCGTATATTTGTATATTTACTTTGGAAAAAATGGTAATAAAAAGAAACATCCTTTTCAGTGCAAACTAATGCCATTCGCATCAATATTCACACATACACAATAAAAAACTACACCTTTGAAAAATTCAATTTAATCAAATGAACAATCTGTGTTAATACAATACAACATACCGCAGAATCAGTTTTTTATTTTAGTACTGCTTTGTGTCTCAAGCAATCTCTTGCTTATTGAAAGTTGGTCAATCTCTTTTTCTTGTCACTTGCTTTATGGAATTTTAAATAACAAATATTTTCAGAAAAAACAAACACTTCTTTCAAATTTGTGACAGAACGAAATAATGACAACAAGTGACAGTGAGAGTGACATATGAAGGTTTATTTTAGTTTTAGAGTGGGGTATTTTAGAGTATTTTAAAGCATTTTAGAGTATTTTTGAGAATTTCTAAGTATGTTTAAACATTTTGAGTGTTTTTTAGTATTTCTGAGCATTTTATTGGGCATGAGTATTTATGAATAAGTATTTACGAGCATTTACAAGTATTTAGTATGTACGTATATTTACCAGTATTTACGAGTATTAACGAGTATTTTCTAGTGTTTGCGAATATTTACGAATATTTATGAGTTTTTATGAGTATTTATAAGTATAAGTATTTATAAATATTTATAAATATTTATAAATATTTATGAATATTTACGTGTATTTAAGTATTTATGAGTATTTATGGGTATTTACCAGTATTTATGAGTATTTAACAGTATATGATCACAGAACGTTAAAAAGTACCAGATAACTACCCTATAGATTATTTCTCTTGAAAAGACGGAAACCTAATTATCTGTCAGATAGTAACACTCGGATAATATATCCGTTGGTTAGTTAACTGGAACTTTATCTGAAGGTGAAAAGACAGACCTTAAATATACTAAATACTTATGGTATCTAATACCGACCAATTTCAAATGAGTTGTTAATATGTAGTAATTATTAAGGTAGTTCACGCGCGATATTCGTACACAAAAATATCGCCTAATGGTGAATACCAAAAGTTTGAGATTCTCAATGCTGAAAAATGTTATTTTTGTAAGAGACTGAACACAACACATATGTAAGCTTAAGTACGGATACGGTATTATTTCAAGTAAAATCCATCCGGCAACGTCACAAATATATGAATGATGCGCTATCAAGTGTATACCTATAGAAATTTGTGACTTTTTCATACTAATTTTAAGAGTTTGTTTTGGTTCAAACAGAACCGTCGATTCCAGTTCTCAAATGCAATAGACAAATTAATTTTTCAAGAACACGTCACGAGGTTATAACAACCTAACCTAACCTCTTTTAGCTGATCGAGTGTAATTCAGTGATTCTGAACTAACAATGTTGCCAAGTTGTAATCATTGTACCCCACTATGCGTCGAATGCTTTAAAATATTCTTATTTTAAAAATCTATATCTTTTTACCAAAACGGTCAAAAAATTCAGCGTTTTTTTAGAAAATTTTATAACTTCTTGATTTACATTACATTAGTTTTTAAAAAAATATAGTAAGAACCGTTTTCGATATATCTTGAAATAAATGCATTGCTTGTGTACATGACTTCAAGATTGTTAATTATGCACAATTTGAATGTTAATATCTCGTTTTCACAAAAAATTTAATTTTTTTTTAGTTACGTAAAAGACACTTTCATTAACCTTATATTTCAATTTTATTAAATTCTTAAGAAAAGCCGTTTTACGAATGAACTAAATATTATTTTAAAAAAATGAAAATAAAGTGTTAAAATATAAATCTTGAAGCTTATTTTTAATTATATTTAATATGGAACTTAATTTTTAAATAAAATGTACCTATTTATTGTAAGTTTTTATTTGCAATTTAATTTTTTTTAAAATAGCCATCTATCCAAATAAAACCATTTTAAATAAGGAATTCTTATTAGGTATTTAAAAATATATTATCAGAAAATTTCAATCGACGCTACCCATTTTAAATTAGTCACATCACTTCATGCATTGTCAGAATTGTTAAAATAGAGAACAATCACAATGCCATTATTTCTTCCGTTCCCTCTAACTTGTGTATGGCAAAATTTTGCTACAATAAAGTTCATTAATCTCCGTATTTATGTATAATTATTTTTGGTTGATAAATAAAATGTTTTAATTGGTCTTTATTTTATTTCATAAAGGAAGGTATGTAGTCAGAAATATGTATAATATTCTTGCTTCACATATAAAACTGGTTCTTCACAATATTTTTCTATTTTCTTTTCTCCTTCATCAGTCAAGCTTTAAGGTACGTTTACATCTGACATTTATTGCATGATATTTATGTCTGACAGTTGTTTGGTCCAGTGTAAACACTCAAAAATATATGTCCGAGAGAAATTTTTGTGTGTTTACACTGCACTAAACAACTGTCAGACATAAATCTCACGCAATAAATGTCAGATGTAAATGTACCTTTATAGTAGGTATATTTACTCAAAATGTATACAAATTGTTTAAAGTACAAAATTAATAATCGTATAAAATTGAGTAAATAATATACAAAAGGACAAGCCTGTGTATGGTCTATGTAGTATCACAATACTGTGAAATACTATTTTTACATTGAAAGTTAAAAATATACGTTATAAAACAATATTTTTAAAAGCATGTCCATCCGCTTTCATCCAGCATTTTATAGTAATTAACAATATATAACCCCTTCCATGCGGTACGACACTGCCAAGTTTTCCGTTTGTGTACCTTTCCTCTCTCCCCGTCTAGATAATCATTAAACCCACTACTTCCACAAGTAAGGCGTATCTATCCTAATACATGATCGAATATAATAGCCCATCCTTGGTCAACATGGCCTAAGTGCAAGAAAAAACAAATAGTACTTACTGAGGATCTACATTAGCAGTAGCTTCATCCATAACCAAAACCTTGTTGTTCCTAACTATGGCTCTTGCAAGACAGATCAACTGCCTCTGGCCAGCACTGAAGTTAGAGCCGCCCTCACTGACTGCCTGATTCAGGTCTGTCACTACATCTTTGAGTTCTACCTGTAACAAACACACAAAAATATCACCATTCCCTAACTAAGTTTTAAGAAAATGTTATTGACAAAGAAAAGTATTTTTAGGTAACTTACATTTTCTAAAGCCTTCCAAAGTACTTCATCGCTATGTTTTTCGAAAGGATCCAAGTTATACCTCAACGAGGCTGAAAATAAAATTGGTTCTTGTGGAATAATCGAGATGTTCAATCTTAAATCATTCAGTCCAATCTCGAGGGTGTCTATACCGTCTATGGAAATCGTTCCCTCTATCGGAGCTAGTCGGAATAACGACGCTATTAAAGTAGATTTTCCGGCGCCAGTGCGTCCTACAATACCCACCTGCAAATTAAAAAAAAAAAAAAAAAAAAAAACATACAAAAATATCCTTTGTGGAATTTCTATTTTTAGGTCATTTAAGGAGTATTTATGAGTATGAGTATTAATGAGTATTTAAGTTTATTTTAGTTTTAGAGTGGGGTATTTTAGAATATTTTAGAGTATTTTAAAGCATTTTAGAGTATTTTTGAGAATTTCTAAGTATGTTTAAACATTTTGAGTGTTTTTTAGTATTTCTGAGCATTTTCTTGGGCATGAGTATTTATGGATAAGTATTTATGAATAAGTATTTATGAATAAGTATTTATGAATAAGTATTTATGAATAAGTATTTACGAGCATTAACAAGTATTTAGTATGTACGTATATTTATTTACCAGTATTTACGAGGGTTAACGAGTATTTTCTAGTGTTTGCGAATATTTACGAATATTTATGAGTTTTTATGAGTATGAGTATTTATAAGTATAAGTATATATAAGTATTTATAAATATTTATGAATATTTACGTGTATTTAAGTATTTGAGTATTTATGCGTATTTACCAGTATTTATGGGTATTTAACATTACTTAACTTAACAGTAATTAAAATTAATTAAGAGTAATTAAGAGTTCAAGAATAATCGAAAGTAAGAGCAATTCAGTGTTATCGAGAGTAAATGAGAGCAATCCAGAGTAATTAAGATTAATCAAAAGTAACTAAGAGTAATAAGAAGTATATAGTATTAATTAAGAGCAATTAAAAGTAAATAATAGCAATTAAGATTAATCAAAAGTATTTAAGAGTAATTAAGAATAACTAAGAGCAATTAATACTAATTAACAATTGATAGTAATTAACAATTAAGTGTAATTAAAATATTTAGGAGTGATAAAAAGTAATTAAAAGTAATTAAGAGTAATTAGAAGTAATCAAAAGTAATTATGCATAATTAATAGTAATAAAGAATAATTACTAGTACCTAATTAAAAGTATTAGAGTTTTTATAAGTATTTAAGATTAATTAAGACTATATAAGTATAATTAAAAGTAATTAAGGGTATTTAACGTAATTAAAAGTAATTAGGAGCAGGTATTTATAAGTATTTCGATCATAATCATACCTTTTCCCCAGACTTCACCTCAATGTTCAAATTCTTTAGTACCGGCGGTAACTCTAGAGCGTATCTGAGATAAGTGTTCTTGAAAAGAATCTTTCCTTTGCTGGGCCATTCTCTGGGCGGCTTTTTGGCCGGCAAAGACTCGAACGGACCTTCCTTTTCTAATTTGGTGTATTCTAGTACCCTTTCGACGCTAACCATGTTGCTGGCTACTTCGGCGCTCTGTCTTACACCGAATTGCACCATTCCGGTTAAAATAATACTGTGAGAAATTATGAGACCGACGCTGCCACTCGTTACGGTCTCTAAAAGATAAAATATGATTAGTTATTAACGTCAAATAATTATTGTCAGCTCAATTTTGAATATAATTTAAAAAGTTCTAACAGAGATGATGTGCCGTTAGTCTTATAAGAAAATAAAAGGTTAGTCATTGACAGTGGTGGCTCGTCACCAAAATTTTGGGGGTTCACAGTGACACAATATAGATATCAGTACATATGTATGAAAAAAACTTCCAGTGTTTTGGAAAGTTTATAATATACCTTTCTAAAATACTGACAGTTTTTTACCTACACGTGTACCGAGATCTATACTCTGCTACTGTGAACCCCCAAAATTTAGGTTACGAGCCGCCCCTGGTCATTGAAGGTAATTTCAAAAGTAGATAGAATATGCAGGACTAGGGCTAGGCTAAAATTTGTTCAAATAGAATTTACTTTTACACATTTTATCAATCATTAACAACTTACCATCATTAAAAATAAGGAACTGATAAGTAATCAGCGATAAGAACGAAATACTTAGACAATCCAGATAGAAGCCAAAAGCCGTACTGCTGACTAAAAACAAGTACCATGTACTAGTATGTTGATCTTGCAGACCATCAAATTCTTTAATAACCATTTCTTGAGCACCAGAAGCTCTTATAGTTGTTATGCCATATAACGTAGCAGAAATGTGTGAGAAAACTGGAGCTCTTGCTAAAATAACGAAAAATATATTATATTTGCGTGGTGTTATTTTAAAAGTATATCAAATGTATTATACAGAAAATAACAGTAGAAAATGTAAAATTATTATCGGGTAGATACTTACTGACTCCTTCCCATCTTTTGATGGCTTGGGCTGTTATTAAATAGACATTTCGGAAAAAATAAAACAAAGGACAAAGTACAGCAGTAGGTATTATCATCCACGGTGTCACTAGGAATACCATAGCCAAGATTCCAATCATCACCATTAAAACTTGCAAAGCATCCAGCATAGCTCGCGGTAGTAGTTCATCTACTGCTCCCATGTCTTTAGAGAACCTGTTCAATATTCTACCTACAATTGATGAATTTGTCAGTTGCTTTAACATATTTTTTCTTAATATTTAATTACCTGACGGATTGGTGTCAAAGAATCTCATAGGCGCTTGAAGTATATTCGCAAACATTTTATTATGCATGACTTTGGACGCCTTCATGCACACTCTATAGTACATAAATGACCTTATTGTCAATAATACCACAGACCCTATTATCAAAGCCGAATATATCCATATGTAGTAATATATGGTTTCTATGTGAGTAAATTCTATTTCATTTGCTGTTATATTTGTAACTGGTTCTGTTGCATTTGTAACTGGTGCTGTCATGTTTGTAACGGTTTCTGTCATATTTGTTATGGTTGCTGTTATGTTATCGCTAATTGTTGGTGGAGTGAGGGTTTTCAGAAATGAAGAGAATGACACCGGTGAACAAATAGTAGCCGTATGCGTAAAATTGTGCTCATAAGCAATATTCTCACATAGGATGTTTCTCCTTTCTTCAATGTTAGTCCTATATAAAAATAATATTCAGTTAATCACATTGTTTATCTTTTAAGATAGTCCAGGATCCGTAAGTAGTGTCGACCTTCACCCATCTGTTTAATGAATAAAAGTTTTTTTTTATTAAATAAAATATGTATTTAAATATACCGCATATAGGTTGCCTAGGAAAATACGGTCACGGCCATTTTTTACTTTCCTTTCTGCGTACAGATCAGAAAAGTATAGGAATCATGATAAAAGTTGCTTATGATGTCATTCTCTATTATTTTGTTCCTATACATGATTTCCCTAAAATGGACCTAATTCGAGATATTTGAGGAAAAGTGCAAATTTCGAATTATGAAGATAACTCAAAAACGGATAAAGAGAAAGACACCAAATTTTAAACTTAAGCTTCAATCCATCCTAAGGTGAGCTGATTAAAGTTTAGGTATAGTCAAAGCATCTGGATAATACTTCACAGGGTGTCGTTTTTTTTTTACTTTAAGAAAATAAATAGTCTGGACCGTATTTTCTTAGGAAACCCATTTGCGGTATATTTATAAACATATTTTATTTAATAAAAAGAAACTTTCATCCATTAAACATATGGGTGAAGGTCGACCTTATTTCGGATCTTAGACTAAGAGGTTTACACGAAAACACTGAAAATATTGTTACGCAGCACCCTGCAGCTATTATAGGAAACGTACAGATAGAAAAAGAAGTGGAATGTTACTCATCGCCTTTCAGTGTGCTGCGGTCGTCATAAGTAAAAGTACAAGTAAAAGAAGATATAATAGTCTAGAAATGTCATTACCCGTCAAGAATATTCTAGATGACAGTTCGAGAAGTTTCGAGCAAGCTATATAAGGATGATCCTGACGTCAGTTTTCAGTTTTATGATAGATGTTATATGTTAATGTTATCAGTTGTATAGTTGTTGTAAAAGTTGAGTTGAAATAAATTGAGATACCAAAAACCTGTGTAACATTGGTGACAGCGGTGGAATACAAAGAAGTTCATGGTAAATACTAGATCCACTGAGTACGAAGCAGACATGGATACTTCAGGCCCACCAGCATGGTTTTTGAAGATGGAAGAGGAGAGAGTAAGGCGAGAAGAAAAGGAAAGGTGTAGGAAGGAAGAAGAAGAGGAAAAGGAAAGGCGTAGGAAGGAAGGAAGAAGAGGAGGAAAAGGAAAGGCGTAGGAAGGAAAAAGAATAGAAGAGGAGAAGGAGGAGAGGCATAGAAAAGCGGAGGTGGACATTATGAATGGCTTAGTACAAATTCAAGAAAACTTCAGGCAAGAGGTAGGTCAGCTAAACAGTCGAGTAGATCTCCTAGCACAACAACAGGAGCAGCAGCAGCAAGAAAACTTAAAAAATACTTTAAAGAATTTAAAAACTAACTTAGAACAGCAACAAGAGAAACTAAAAACTAATTTAACTAATTTAGAGCAACAACAAGAGAATCTAAAAACTAATTTAGAGCGACAACAGGAAAAGGCTAGAATTGACTTAGAAAGGCAAATTAGAACTGAAATAGTTGAGTTAGAAAGAAGAATTCGTGGCCAAACTTCCGTAAGCAACATTCAAGCTGAAAACACTACCTCGTCTTCATCTGTAACCGACCCAAGACGTATTCAAACCCCAATCTCACAAAACCATAGTAGCAAGACCCTGAAACCACCTACGTTCGATGGCCAGACAACATGGAAAACATATCGATTCCAATTTTAAGCTGCAGCTAGAGCTAATGGCTGGCCCGAGAAAGAGATGGGGCTTCATTGATAGTGTCACTGCTAGGTCAGGTAGCAATCGTTTTACAGTTACTTTCCCAAGAAGAACCCATCTCTCGTACAAGCTTTGGAGACAAGATATGGCCAGTAGCATTTGAAACAGGTATTCCAAAGCCAGCTAAAAGTTCGTAGTCAAAAACACAATGAGAGTCTACAAAAATTTGAAGCCGATATTAAAAGATTGCTGCATCTGGCCTATCCACAGGCACCTAGAGATTTCTTAGAACAAATCAGCATACAAGCGTTCATTACTGGACTACAGGACGTGGAAATGCAGCAGGCTTTTCGGCTACAACACCACAAAACGTTGAGTGAGACACTTATTGCAGCCCAGAAATACGAAGGAGTAAAAAGTATATCTAGATCTTCTCGCGCAAAATTGAGAGAAATTCGATTTCAAGAAAGTGAAGAGACCACTACTAATATTATTCTTCAACCTACCCTTTTAAAAATCTTAGATATCTTGCAAGGTATGCAACGAAATAACCAAAATGAAAACAGAAGATGCTTTAATTGTGGAAGAATTGGACACCTTCAAAGAACTTGTCGAAGCAGGGGTCGTTCTATAAATCGAGAATCGGGGAATGATACCTTAAATTCACCTAGATCAACCTCCCAAAGCCCGTCACGAAGTCCATCAAGAAACAATTACAGCAAATATGCTTCCCGGAGGAGCCGGTCACCCACACCTAGCCGGCTTTCTAGCAATAGTCAGGGAAACGAATAATGGTCGACACTACGGGGCAGGCGTCGGCTGTAAGCGAGAGCCCCAAAATTCGCACTTACACCTTAAATAGAAACGAACAAAATCTATTGGTAAAGGGGTATATTGATAACCAGAAAGACACCTTCGTCCTTGATACTGATGCAACCAAGTCTTTTATTCCAACAGGGATCCTGCATCGGAAACCACGACCAACTCGAAGAAGTTTAGTTCTGGAAACAGCTACAGGGCACACTATTCCTGTTCTAGGCGAGATATCAGCAACCGTACAGATTGGTAATACCCTGATAGAACACTTATTTCTGCTGGCCGATATTAAGGACCAGTGCGTCCTTGGTATTGACATTATGCAAAATAAGTTTATCATCAACCTCCAAAACAAGATCTTGGTAATTGGAAACGAGGAAATTGTCCTAAATTCAGAAGAAAAGATTCAATCGATAAAGGTCCTAGTGGAAGAAGACATAGAACATAGAAGTACCCCAAAATTCTGAAGCTGTTGTCTCAGCGACCCTGTTTAGAACGACAATGCCGATATTGTAAAAGGCTTGAAGAACGAGAGGAGCCGGTTGAAGAAATTAGTCTTCAGGCGACCACTATCAAGCCAGAGGATGACGAAGACGGAATTACCCTTGAAAGCCTAAGAAAGACTCAAAAGAAAGACAATGTCTTGAAGGTTGTTCGAGAATGGCTTAAAAATGGAGTCAGACCTACATGGCAAGATATAGCCAAATATAGTGGCACCGTTAAAGGGTATTGGACTCAGTGGGATTCCCTGTATCTTCACGATGGCCTATTGCACCGGAAGTGGGAGAGTCCCGATGGAGTACATATAGTCCGCCAAGTGATACTGCCGGAATTACAGGTCAAAAGTGTGTTGGAGGAGCTTCATAGCAGCCGTTCAGGAGGACACTTTGGTATTAAAAGGAAACTTGCACGAGTTCGGGAAAGATTTTATTGGGTCAATTGCCGACGGGTGTAAAGAATGTGACCGTTGTAATGGCAGAAAAGGACCTAAAACAAGAAGTCGAGGTAAAATGGCTCTCCTTTCCGGAGAGCCTTTCGAACGAGTCGCCTTAGATATCCTCGGACCACTTCCCCTAACAGAAAGAGGAAACAAATACTTGATGGTTGTTATGGACTATTTTTCAAAGTGGCCCGAAATAGTGCCTATTCCTAATCAGGAAGCAACGACAGTAGCGAAAGCATTTATGATGAATGTTACTGCGAGACACGGAGTTCCCCTGGACTTACATTCTGACCAAGGACGAAATTTTGAATCCGAATTATGACAAGAATTGATGAAACTGTTAGGCATCAAGAAAACACGCACTACGCCTCTCCATCCACAATCCGACGGAATGGTAGCAAGACACAATAGAACGATATGCCGCAGTATCTTTCAATGTTCGTCTCTGATAATCAAAAGGATTGGGACACTTTAATTTCTCTATTTCTGCTAGCCTACCGAAATTCTGAACATGAAACGACCAGTTATATTCCATCCATGATGATTACTGGAAGGAAGATGAAACTTCCCCACGATCTTCTTTTTGGAAGGGAGAAGGGAGCAATGTTACGCAGCACCCTGCAGTAGCCTGCGGCTATTATAGGAAACGTACAGATAGAAAAATAAGTGAAATGTTACTCATCGCCCTACAGTGTGCTGCGGTCGTCATAAGTAAAAGTATAAGTAAAAGAAGATAGAATAGTCCAGAAATGTCTGGAAATGTCATTTCCCGTCAAGAATATTCTAGATGACAGTTCGAGAATTTTCGAGAAGGGCCAAGCAAGCTATATAAGGATGATCCTGACTGTCAGTTTTCAGTTTTATGATAAACGTTATATGTTAATGTTATCAGTTGAATAGTTGTTGTAAAAGTTGAGTTGAAATAAATTGAGATACCAAAAACCTGTGTAACAATATCAATATTTCTTACCAATTCTTCAGCCATATATCAGAAGCATTTGTGATCATCTGGGACAGAATAAACATAATAAGTGTGAGGACCGAGAACATAATTCCACTACCGGAACTCCAATACTCCCAGTAAGTGGAATTTGAAATACTGCCTTTTGCTATCAATTCATCAGTTTCTTCGGGATCTTCGTTACCCATAATTGAACTCTAAAAAAGATAATTTATTGATTTACTTCAAAAGGAGAGACACATGCAGTTTTGTGCTGCATTTTCTATGTGCCTTGTAGAAGTTAAATCTCACTAAAACCTACAAATTGTGAAGGAGCTAATCTGGGGAAATAATTATTCAACTACCATCTCATCAAAAATATTATTTAACTTCTACCAGCCAGTTATTATTGAGATCTCCATAAAAACAATAATTTTGCTTCAAGTACAGTCGGCGCAATCCAAATGTTGACTCTTTGGTTGTCATGGAATTTTTTACTGACATTCATATCTGACGCTTTGATTGATAGGATCATAAAGCAAGAGCTGTTTAGACAGCTTCTTAGGAAGTCTTTGATGTTATTTTCAGTACTGTTGCTATTGGCTCGAAGTGGTTCTCGAAAAATATGTAATAATGTATCGCTAAGAATTTATTTTATTAAATTTTGGTTGCTGGAAACTTGTACTCTGCCACTGGTCATGCTTTGTTTATTTCCTACATTAGACATGACATAATGGTCTATATAGGTACCTATTATGTAAGAGCGCTGCTAGTAAAATCCCGGAATTTGATAATATTAGAGTTTTCTAATATATCCTATACAAATACTCATATCTTAACATTTTTTTTTTGTTAAAAATCTAAATAGAATTGTAAAATTACGAATTAGAATACTTACCGATAAAGATGATATTGACTGAAACTGTTCCAACGGTGACTTCTTTTCCGGAATTTCTTCTTTGGTTTTATTTTTTTCTTCGTTTGTAGGTTCTTGCTGTAAAGTATTCAGTTCATTTTCCGATAGCTGATCGAATGACGAAATTTTCTCTATCTTACCCTAAAAAATATTAACAATAACGATAACAATAGACATTTTATTAGGTTTTACTATTCTTACGTTCTTTAAAATTATAATCAGGTCCGATTTTTTCATGAACTGAAGCTGATGAGTGACCAAAATTCTGGTTTTGTTCCTCAAGTAATTCACCATGCATTCGTCAAAAAGATGTCGTCCTACTTTTGTGTCAACCGCTGATAGTGGATCGTCAAACAGATAAATATCAGCTTCGTTATAAACAGCTCTAGCTAGATTCACTCTTGCTCTTTGTCCTCCACTAAGAGATGTTCCTCGCTCGCCAACTAAAGTTTTGTCGCCGAACGGAAATTGTTGGAAGTCTGTTTCTAAGCAACAGACTTGAACGACGTTTTTATACCTATGAATAGAGAAACAAAACACTATAGTACGGTAAAAATAGGTATCTTTTCCAAAAAAAGGTTTTTGACGAAATTGTAATTAATGAATCGTTAGGTAACCAAGGTAACCTCTATGAAATTATTTAATAATCACAATTAAAGTTACGTTACAGATACATTTCCTCCTAATAAACTGTATAATACCTGTTACCAAATTTACTAATGATAAGCAAAGTTCTTTATTTGTTTGATTGTGATAGCAACACTGATCCAAGGACAAAAGTTTAATATGTGCTATTAATTAGTTTAGCTGTCTCATATAGTAAGTATTAAACAAATTTAATAACCGGTATTAAATTTTTAATACCCACTAGCAAAGTTTTTTCTCGGTGTAGTTCCGATAAAGCACTTTCTAGAGATGATGCTGTTCTATGCTTTTTAGAAGATATTATCAAATATTATGAGAGTAGTTTTACTGATGGTACTGTTAGCAAAATAAAAAGGGGAAAGCAGAATTTAAAGGATGAGGATATACCATGTACATTCCCAAATCTCTCTTTATACTTGTATTCAGAGGCGGCTCGTGACCAAAATTTTGGGTGTTTACAGTAACAGAATATAGATCCCGGTACAGATATAGGTAAAAAACTGTCAGTGTTTTAGAAAGGTATATTATAAACTTTCTGAATCACTGAAAGTTTTTTTCATACATCTATACTGATACCTATATTCTGCCACTGTGAACCCCCAAAATTTTGGCCACGAGTCGCCACAGCTTGTATTACTTTGCGCTTAAAACTATATATAGGTTCAATTCAAAAAAATTTTGCCACAAAATTGTACTTATCAAATTTCAGCATTTAACAAACCTTTTCGAATTTGGTCATACCTACCTAATTTGCATTTTATATAGATAAAATTAAATAATTTATCAATTAAAACATGCAAGACTTATTTAGTAATAAATACAACAGTATGTTCTGTGCTTTATTTAGCTATTCGCTCCGTGCGAAGTCATGGAAAGGGAAGCAAAAGCGATAGTAGCGCTAGCTGCGGATAATTCGTGCATTTTAGGGCGATATTTTGTAATTTTTGCATATCAAATACACGTATACATTTTACTTTTTTTCAAAAAAAGTAGGTAAAAACAATACAATAAGCAACCGGAGTTGCTGTGTTGAAAATTGTACAAATACTAGCAAAAAAACAGTGAAACTTATATAAAAAATTTCAGTAGCAAAGTGGAAATTAAATCAAGGAAATAAATGAATAGATATACAATAAGAAGAAAAATTACCTTTATTTTTGTAATAATAACCGTAATGCTGCAAATAGTAGACATCAGAAACTTGAAAGGTTTTAAATAAACAATAAATTATCATTTTACCATGTTCTTTAATATCCCTTATTCTTAAATGTTCATTCAGCAAGGACTAGATTTCAAGATTTCTGCCTTTGATTATTATATGTGGTTGGAACGCAATTTTGTAACTTACTGATGGGAAATTAGTTTTAATCATTCATTCTATGTTTTCTTTCGAACAAAAATGAAAATATAAGTAATGATCCTTTTTTTATACATTTTAACTTCACGCTATTATTAAATGGTATTTTTGTATTTTGACAGAATAGACTAATTCTTCAATGAAAACTTATTAGACTTAGGCAACTTCTCATACATTTTCCAGTAAATACTGTTGCCTGCCTATATTTTATTATTGATTTATATCAATTATACATAATTTTTTTTAATTTAAGCGATAAAAATATATAATAATAATAAATTAATGTTTTACTTGTTTTACAAATCCATACACTTTTATTAAAACTAACATGTATACTTTTTAATTACGAATTCTATTAAAAGTTGCATTTGTCAGTACACGCAGAAATAGTCCATTAGTATCAAAACGAATTGGCGCTGCTGTCGCGCACGGAGCGAATAAACAAGTTTATTTTTATTATTTTGACAAAATTATGTATAATTCCCATAAAAAGATAAATATAAAAAAAGAGGTCGCCAAAGTTTTCAAAAACTCGTTTCTTCACTTTTTCGAGCCAAAAATTAAGTTTTCTGCTAAAACTGTAAATGCAAAAGTTGTCGAGGAAGTGCAGCTGCTTCATCTAAGAATATGAATGTACTTATATTTGTCTAGAAGACAAAAATGAAAAAAAGTTAAGGAAATTAACTAAAAGAAAATAAGAAAATGATAATTTATAGAGGCATACCCAGATATATTGACGCTTCCATAAGAGCCAGAGGTAAAAATACTACTAATTACTTTAATTAATTCATTTTTTTCTCTAATTTTTTACATTAGAAAATCAAATTTGATGTCTAGTTGAGTATTATTTTAATTTTTTTTATTAAATTTTATGTACATAAGTATATAGATGTTTTTCTGTACAAAACTAATATACCCAACCCACAAATTGACAGCTATCCGAACTAGAACAAATTCAAAGAACAACATATCTCAACAAAACAAGAGCCAGGAAAACAACACCGACCAAAGCCATGGAAGTGACTCTTGGTCTCACTCCCCTTGATATTTACATCAAGGAGATTGCTCTGACGACAATGACACACCTTCGCACGGTTGTAATAGAACCTGATCTAGGATCTGGTGAGGCGAGACGTCGTTTTTGGTAGGAGGCGCTCGATACGCACCCACTGCTTCAAGCGAACATATAACAAGCCATATAAAGTTATAACAGAACAAATAGAAGAACCGGAAGTGGCAAGTACGATACAAGTCCACACTGACGGTTCTAAAACAAAACAGTGCTCAGGATGTGGAATATACTCCAGATCCGTAAACCTAAAAATAAAGAGGGCTTTGAGCAATAGTGCCAGTTTAGTTCAAACAGAGCTCACATGGATTCTTACAACAGTAAAACAAATTACTAGAAGAAACATGCTCATCTGTAGAGATAGCAGACAAGCACTACTCACCCTGAATAGACCACGAATTGACTCAGGGTTAGTAATAGAATCTGACGAAGCTTTGGCCGAAGTATCCATCAATAATGTGGTCACCTCAAGATGAATTAAAGGTCACGCCACGCTGATTCACTGACCAAGAAAGCAGTCAACCAAATACTTTTTGTACCTGGCCCTTCTATTGGTCTGACAAAATCGGTAGTGACAGACCTAATTAAAAATATTCCCTTGTGAAATTCAAGGAAAGGTGGGATGAAACAAGAAACTGCAGAGCTGCCAGGGAGCTTTTAAGTTATCCTGACAACAATGAAATAAACAAATACTTGACTATGACTAGACAGAATCTGCGCCTAGTCACAGGCATTCTGACTGGTCATTTCCAAGTACGAAAGCATCTCCATATCATGGGGCTGTCAGAATCCGCACTCTGCAGGGGATGCGAACAAAAAGATAAGACCATCGATCATATTCTCTACAATTGCTCGACGCTCTCATTTATCAGAAGATTTGTGTTCGGCGAGTATCGCGCTAACACCGGCCGATATAAGAGTAACATCTCTTGGTGACGTTGTCAATTACATTAAATCTGTAGACTGGATCACGAGCTAGGAGGTGTCTATCATCTTAGGATGACGCACAATGGACCCAGTGAAGCCTAAGTGACGTGGGGTAACCCACCCTCCACACGTTACAAATACAGATTCCCAACAAAATTTGGGTGAGTCCCTATAAATTTGGTTGTGTATAGTACATTATTTTTCGTGTAAGTTCCATATTTTTTTTACCTTTATTCATTTCTTTTTAAAACTATTTTGGTCTATTTTAAAGAATATTTTATAACAACCCATTCAATTTTCCCCCTTTAATACTAAAGGTTTGAAATTTGAAGAAATTTGTAGGTCATCAAACTAGTACAGATTATCATGGCTTCTGACTTATACCATACAATTTTATAATATATATTTTTTTCTATATAATATTATTCCTGGCATTAATAAATATTATTATTATTATGAAAAGCCATTGAATATATTGTCTGGTAATATATAAATGAAGTTTAGGGGGCTTTTACACCACTCCAGCTGGAACGATTAGAATAGTTACATAGTTGCCAGATTCCATAATAATATTTAAAATCAAGAAAAAGCAAATTTGAGTTATCAGTGACGCTGTCAAACAAAAACAAAATGGCCACCAAAAAGAAAAGGTACAGTTTAAGTCGTCGAGGATTACGCATGCACAGATATAGTGTTTACTCTAATAATTAATTATAATTTCAAGAAAAATTTGTAAAAATGAATAAAATGTTTTTTTAATTTTAGTTTATTTTTTTTTTGTTAAACAAATATTAATAAATAAATATGCTGACTCATGCGCAACACGCTGCGACGTAAACTGTAGGATCATACCTAAAATAAACTATTAAAAAACAGAAGTTAGTATGATTTCATAATATATTATACATCCTCTTCCAAAACCAAAAAGTATTCAAAATTTCATTGTGAGGCACTTCTACTTCTTACCAATTTTTATTTTAACTAATGATCGTTCAAGTTTAAGACAATAATAAACGGCAAGACAAGAATAGAAATATGGCAACACGGAAATTGTAAAATTTAATTTCTGAAGGTCTGTTCCAACACGCGAGAAAATCGTACAAATCATGCGCTGTACACCATTTTTGGGTAGCGCGCACGATTTGTACGTAATATTACGGTTTTCGCGCGTGTTGGAACAAACCTTAAACTTCAGTGCACAAAGGCGTGGGAATGCGCATTAGTAGCCCCCTAAAATACAAAATTACCAATGGTTGTTAATTGTACTTCACTTACCTTTTCTTATCAAATTCTTTCCCAAACAATATATTATCCTTTACGCTGGACACGAACAGCCACGGTTCTTGACAAGCGTACGAAATTTTTCCAGTAACATTCAGTTTCCCGCTACTTATCGGCAACTCCCTCAGCAACAATTGCAGAAAACTACTTTTGCCTGCTCCAACATGTCCTACAACACAACACAGCATGCCCGGTTTGATTTTTACGTCGATGTTCATCAACGTGGGAACAATGGAATGTTGTGTCCAACTGGCGGTGACATTTACTAACTGAACCTCTCCCGTATTATCAGAATTGATGATTTTATTGTTGACGCTTTTTGATCCTTCGTTTTCATCCATTAACAAGAAATTTTCGATTCTAAAAAGCATAATAATGTTGGGGATTAAAAAGAATAAAAATTTTAATTTTGACGTACCGGTTAATGGACACTACTGCTTCTGAGTACGATGATAAGGCTTTGGGGAAGAATATGGACAAAATAAGTTGCATGGAGTTAAACAGTTGAGCTAAGGAGAAAGCTACGTTTGCTGAGAGGTTGTTTCCTACCATGACAAATACTATGATGGTTAGATAAAGAGTAATTCTTTCGGTGAAGATGCCGCTGGCTGACATGACACCGTAGATGTAAGAGGTTTTTGCGATAAATTTGATTTCCAATCTGAAATAAAAAAAATAGTCAGTGTTTAAGTATTTGTATTTTTTAATAAAAATTACTTTTACATTTTGCCCGCATATCATTATTGATAATGTCAGAAAAGTTAAAATTATGACATTTGATTCTGGGTAATTGATAGCCTATATGTTTCTAAAGTATGCTTTGAAACCCGGTGAATGATATTTTGCAGGTGTTTCCACTCTTTTTAAAATATGGCACCAAAAACTGCATATTATATAAAAAAAAATCCACCAGAGATGTCGGCAGATGGTGAAGTACCTCAAATGAAAACAAATAATGACTGCGAACTGACAGAAAAATTCAGTTTATTGAGTAAAAAATGCACCTGTATCCAATTTTTTTTAAAATAATGGTAATTTATTAATGTCTACTAATCATACTCTATGTAACAAACGAAATGGAAAGTAAAAATACAATACCACATGCTTATAATAATAACAACCACCTATATATTTCATCAAACCAAAGTGAGAAAACATTACTATTTTTCATCATTTTTAGTGTACAAGACAACAATAAGAAAAATAGTGTGTATTCTTTCCTACAAAATTGTAAATATGTTGGCGAAACTCGTCTGCGCTACTCGTACCGCTTTTCATGAGTCAACTGGTAAAGATCCCTACTACATCAACTTTGGTAGAAAAATGATCTTAGATGGTCGCGATTTTCAATTGAGAGAGAAGAAGTTAGAAGCAAATGACGAGAAGGTGCGTGAAGATGATGTTGAGCTAAGGTCTAGAAGGTTAAAAGAGGTGTTTGTTGATGTGAGGAAGCGTCTAGATAAAGCCTCGGGTAGGAACGACAAAACCTACAATTTGCGTCAGCACCATGAGGAGTTTTTGCCTCAGCAAGCCGTGTGGAGGAGAAATTTTGCGCTTTCTAACGCTGGGATTATTTTGCTAAGAAACTTGCACCAAGGTGGATTGGACCTTACTTCGTACGGAAACGGGTTGGGTACTGCACCTATCAATTGGAGGACGACTAAGGTAAAAATCAGGATACGTGGAATATTAAAGACCTCAAAATCGTGAAGGGCGTTGATCGCGGTATATAGTACGCCATTCGCGATTTTCCTTCAAAGTACCGTAACTTTTAACACGCACAAGTATCAGATTTTGGGTGTCTTCTTTTTTTGGTTGATGATAGTCGGTTGTGAGTCTAATGTCTCTTTATTGTTAATATATAGTCCCTTGTTTGTTATTTTTTTTTGAGGCCCGGGTGTACTATGGGTGCGTTGGAGGTTCGGGGTGACTGCATTAAATTGCAAGTACGTATCCAGGGTAAGGCATTGGGGGTTTCGATATGATGGCGGACATGTTTATACAGGATGCCGGCGCTTGTACGTCCAAGGTGGTGCCGAGGCTACTGCGTCCTTGCCAACATGGATCACCTATGTCACCCTGAAGACTATAAATTCAGTGTGGTGCTTCTAGTGAACCATTCAATTTGTCTCTTTTTACTTTCCTATCTGTATACAGATATAAGGAAAGTATAGGAATCATGATTTTTTTCGACCTCGAGTTTTCGACGGATTTTTACGTTTTGAGGTCCCCTGAATCCGTTTTGACTATTTTCGCGATGATGTCTGTGTGTGTGTGTGTGTGTGTGTGTGTGTGTATGTCTGTGTGTCGCTTAACTCATGAACCGATACACAGAAAAACACCAAATTTCAAACTTAAGCTTTGTTCCAGCGTCCAATGTGCTGATTAGATTTTGGGCAGTGTCGGAACATCTGGGGGGGTACTTTATATGTGGTCATTTTTATATTTTATGGAATATATCTGTTATTTACGTTTGGGGAAGAAAATTCTTCAAATAAAAGTTACTTATATTATTATCTAAAATTTTCCTAAAATGGTCCGTATTCGAGAAATTTGGCAAAATGTAAAAAAATATTTTTTTATAAAAATTGTTTAAACAAAAGTTGTTTGTAATATAATTCTCTATAATTTTTATCCTATACATAATTTCTCTAAAATGGACCGTATTCGAGATATTTGAGAAAATGTGTAAATTTTTAAATTTGAAGAAAACTCAAAAACGGATAAAGAAAAAAACAATAAATTTTAAACTTAAGTTTTATTTCGGCCTGACGTGAAATGATTAGATTTTGGACAGAGTCGGAACATCTGGGGGGGGGTACTTTATAGGGGGCCGTTTTTATATTTTATGGAATATAGGTATCTGTTATTTATGTTTGGAGAAAAAAATTGTTCAAATAAAAGTTATTTCTAATATTATCTATAATTTTTGTTTTATTTCAAAATTTCCTGAAATGGTCCGTATTCGAGAAATTTGACAAAATGTGCAAAATTCTGATTTTTATGAAAATTGTTGAAATAAAAGTTGTTTGCGATATCGATCTCTATAATTTTTGTTTATACATGATTTTCCTAAAATGGACCGTAATGGAAAAATTGTAGAAAAAGTGCTAAATTTAAATTTTTCAGTATTTTCATTTTCAATGAATATCTATAGAAAAATGTTTCGAGGTAGATGTATGTGGAAAATGTATATATTTATTTTATCCTCTAAACATTTATGGAGGTGCTGCAATAGGTTGTACAAAATAACCGGAAAAAGCCTGTAATAACTAGATAGGAATGTCATGTGTTGGACACATCAGATTTTTACTTTAGTATGTCCTCTTTAGTCTGGCAGAACTATATCTGCTGGGGGGCGACTCGACGCTTTCCTGGTAAACCCAGTAAGATACGGATTTCTGGTACGCCTAAAGATCAAATTTTTTTTTTAATACTACGTTTTGGTTTCTTTTCGAGTGGGTGATTGTGGGTAGTCGGACGGTTACTCTTGGTTCTGTGTCGGAGTCTGGAGACACTTTGGTGTGTGGTTAGAGAAAAAGTCCACGGCGCGATTTATCATCTCTCGCGAGGATCATCCCTAAGGCACCCTTGTTGTGTCCGGATTTCTGCTCAGCGCTGAGAGCGATTGAATGTCTCCCACCGGAGCCTTTTTACATGGTATATGTGCCTTCTGCCATATATGTGATCGTAATGTAAGACGAGGATCTTAACATACGTTGGTACTAAGGTAGCAAGTATCTACCTTGAGTATTTTTTTTTGTTTGGCGGATACTAAAATTCGCTAGACTGTAATTACGTGTCTTGGACATTAGTTCCTATTTTTTTTTGTTCGTTTAAGATGGGTTTAGTAGTTTTAAGATAGGATAGGTTTGTAGTTAATACCGTACCTATTTGACGATTATCCCTGCTACAGCTAGCGCTGTGAAAATTCACTGGTGAATTTTCTTGAACCAAGGGGGTGTTGTAACGATCCAGTTTTTATATTATATTATTATATATTAAGACAAGTACTTTTTGATGACCCCTTGTATGTGTAATTTTAGTCTACGCTTACCTTTTTATCCAAATAAAGGTGTTTATTTACTACATTCTTCGTTTACAGTGAGTTCGTGTCACTTTTAGTCCATTTAGTTGATCGTCCCTAAAATTTGACAGTTTTGCTGCTATTATTGAATTAATTACCCTGTTTCAGTACTTGTTTAGTAGCTAAATATACATCATACCTTGTATAGTGAATTTCTTCTTCATTCTTCAACATGTGTCGCTTTTTCAGAACCTGTATTTTGAATATTCACTCAAGTTATTAGCGAAATTTCCAATATTCATTTAGTAAATTGTCATAGATTCATATCATCCAATTACACATATTCTCCCAATCTAATAATACAACTGTCTTTATCTTTTGGTTCTTGATAAGTTGTAGAAAACTAATAAATAAATATCATTGTTGCTATTTTTGACGTCTCCGTCAAAATGGTTAGGTTAATGATCTTCTTCTTCTTCCTTTATTGGGCTTCGTTGCAGCTCTGGGTTCTTTCGTTTGTTTACTGGAAATTGTGTCACTCCGGAATTGATACTCGCCTGTTTCATGACATTCGCGACGTGATGTATCGATTTGTGCGTGTCGTATTTCGACAGCAATAGATCCATCGATTTGTTTTAATACGGTATTCTAGACTATCTCTAGTCTTCATATTCTTGACGAAGACAACCCTTCGTTATTATTAATTTTTGAGAATCATGTGTAACTCGGCCGGTGGTGAATAGTTCTGGTATTCACGAATTCGAGTTCTGGTAATTTTGGTTTGTAAGCTCGGGTAATTCGTTGATTGGTCAGAACGACTTTTGAGGTCAGGTAACGACTAGATCAAGAGATAATTGGTCGCTAACGTTCGGTCTACGGCGATATCTCTCGATAACCGGAGAAGTTGAAGCCGGCGTTGTTTTCAACAAAGAACGTTTGTTGGACGGTTTTGCTTTTGGCTGTTGAGCATCCTTGGGATTACGGAAAATTTTAGTGGTTTGTGAGCCATCTCCGTCAGGGAGGATTAGTCCCCGTTTTCTTTATTACTGTGAGGGCATTTGGTTTGGTGCCTGTGATTTTTGGAATATTAGTGATTGAGTTTTGTCGGCCGCCATTACCTCGCAGCAACCTCGTGTTGGATTTTTGAATTGGATAGCTGGCCCCTTTGGAAAACACCTTGGCCATAACCGCCGTTCACGCTTATGCTCGTTAGGAACCTAAGTTGGTTTGAATTTGGTCCCTTTTCTGATTAAAAGGGTAAGTTTTTGCAAGTACCGTTTTTTATCCTTTTCCCTAGTCGTTAAAGGCTATATAAATTCTTTGTTAATATTATGGGAGCTATTTGGGTTCAACTCATTATTGAGTAAGTTTATTTTGTTTTGTTATCTCAAAGTTTTTTTATTTTACTATTAGATTGTATATTTTTACTTTCCTATCTGTATACAGATATAAGGAAAGTATAGGAATCATGATTTTTTTCGACCTCGAGTTTTCGACGGATTTTTACGTTTTGAGGTCCCCTGAATCCGTTTTGACTATTTTCGCGATGATGTCTGTGTGTGTGTGTGTGTGTCTGTGTGTGTGTCTGTGTGTGTGTCTGTGTGTGTGTGTGTGTGTGTGTGTGTGTGTGTGTGTGTGTGTCTGTATAACGCATAACTCATGAACCGATACACGGAAAAACACCAAATTTCAAACTTAAGCTTTGTTCTAACGTCTAATGAGCTGATTAGATTTTGGGCAGAGTCGGAACATCTGGGGGGGTACTTTATAGGTGGTCATTTTTATATTTTATGGAATATATCTGTTATTTACGTTTGGGGAAGAAAATTCTTCAAATGAAAGTTACTTCTTATTTTATTATCTATAATTTTTGTTATATACAAAATTTTCCTAAAATGGTCCGTATTCGCGAAATTTGACAAAATGTAAAAAAATATTTTTTTTTATAAAAATTGTTCAAACAAAAGTTGTTTGTAATATAATTCTCTATAATTTTTATCCTATAGATAATTTCTCTAAAATGGACCGTATTCGAGATATTTGAGAAAATGTGTAAATTTCGAAATTTGAAGAAAACTCAAAAATGGATAAAGAAAAAAACATTAAATTTTAAACTTAAGTTTTATTTCGGCCTGACGTGAAATGATTAGATTTTGGACAAAGTCGGAACATCTGGGGGGGTACTTTATGGGAGGCCGTTTTTATATTTTATGGAATATATCTGTTATTTATGTTTGAAGAAAAAAATTGTTCAAATAAAAGTTACTTCTAATATTATTATCTATAATTTTTGGTTTATGTAAAAATTTCCTGAAATGGTCCGTATTCGAAAAATTTGACAAAATGTGCAAAATTCTGATTTTTATGAAAATTGTTGAAATAAAAGTTGTTTGCGATATCGATCTCTATAATATTTGTTTATACATGATTTTTTTAAAATGGACCGTAATGGAAAAATTGTAGGAAAAGTGCTAAATTTAAATTTTTCAGTATTTTCATTTTCAATGAATATCTATAGAAAAATGTTTCGCGGTAGATGTATGTGGACAATGTATATATTTAGTTTATCCTCTAAACATTTATAGAGATGCTGCAATAGGTTGTACAAAATAACCGGAAAAAGCCTGTAATACCTATATAGGAAAGTCATGTGTTGGACACATCAGATTTTTTGACTTATCATGCGGACGGACGAAGCGAATCTTCACAGAATACTGTGTGAAGAGTATAACTTTATGACTTCCCAACAAGAACATATGATTTATTTAAAAACCACCAAAAAATTTAAAATTATAGTCCAAATAAGTTTTTGGGCAGTGGCGTAAAATTTAGAAGGGATGAAGTTGTTACTTATCATGCTGTACGCCACTGGCAAACTTGACAGTTACGAGGACGTTTCTTAAACACTAAGTATGTCACCTAGGAGGTTAAATGTTTTATGAGGAAGAAACTGTTACTAGTTAATGAAACTTGCGGGGTAATAAAAATAAATATCAAGTAGGTAATTCTTACTTTCTGGCCAACTCAACAATTTTTTCAAACGGTTTTTCCCAGGCATACATCTTGATTACTTGTATACCAGACGTAATTTCGCTCATAAGTTTTACTCTGTTGTCTGTCCTTACAGCTATCTTGTATCTCAAGCTTCCTTGCAATTTTGAAAAATATCCTAAAAATCAAATTAAAAGAAAATTAACACAATTTATATACCTTTATATTACCTAGTTAGCAAAACAGTATAATTATAAATGGTATTCAGCTTTTATTTGTAGTTTAGTACCAGTTGCAAAAAATCGAATTGGCAGATTATTGAATTGAAAACTAGAATAAAAATATATAATACTTGGCATTCTATATTATAGTCCTCACAGTTTAACAGACCCCCTTAACCCCCATTTTTGATCAGATTTATTTCAGAATCAAAAAGCTTCATCTCCCATATAAAGCATGATTTTTCCTGAAGATTTCAATTTGATATCGTTTTTTGTTTCCGAGTTAGGATTTTTTTAAATATTTCAATCCCCCATTTTTATTAACTTATTTATTCGTTTCCTTATAGCTTGATTTTTATTAAACATTTCATGTTAATATCGTTTTTGGTTTTTGATTTCTATTTTTTTAATTTCAAATCCCCTTGACCCCATTTTATTCAGATTTTTTTAAAATCAATAGGCTCTGTCCCCTTATATTCTTGTTAGTTTTTAGGTTAGAATTTTTTAAATATTTCAGGGCCCCTTAATCCCGTCATTTTTATTCAATTTTTTTTCAGATTCGATAGGCTTCATCTTCTTTTAGAGCTTGATTTTTACTAAAAATTTCTAATTGATATTGCTTTTCGTTTTTGATTTATGATTTTTTTTTATTTCAACCCCTCTTATCCCCATTTTTAATCAGATATTTTAAAAATCAATAGGCTTTATCTCCTTATAGAACTTGCTTTTTAGCCAAAAATTTCAAGTTGATATCATTTATCGTTTTTGACTTGACGTGCGGACACGTGTCATCGGCAGGACGTACACAGTAAACCTATAATTAGGCATTCCAAACAAAATGGCTACCAATGAGTTTTGACATAAGCTTATGCCTTAAAGTAAAAATGTAGGTAATTATTTTTTTTTACTATATTCAAAGGCTGAAAATTGGTTTCTAGACACATTTTTACTAAACCGATTCTGATTAATGAGCAATATGGCCACCCGCTCTGCGCAATCTATATATGTAGCATTGACCCTGTCAACGACAACAGGCTCACAGGGTTGCCATATCTAAACTGTCAGTTCCCACTTGTTAGCATTTTGACAGGTCGTTGGAATGCCTAATACTCTTCACAGACTACTGTGTGAAGAGTATAAAAATTATAGTCTACTAATTGCTGAAGACCAGACTAACCATGGTTTGCTTCAACTTTACTGACACATGAAAATAACTTTCACCCTTGCGTGTCAAACCAATACCTCCTAAAATATATTTTAGGAGGCATTGGTCAAACACTAAACGATCTTATACTTGCCTTGTAACGGAATGGATTGAATCGTTGCCAAACCCATTCCAGCAATGGCTCCCCACATTCCAACGCTACGGTACATAACGTAAAATCCGATCACTACACTAAAAGGCATTATCCATAAATAATGGATGAACGGAGATGCTGTATCGAACCTTTGGACGTCGTTGGAAAGGAGGTTCACCAATTGACCTGCCGCCGTTTGGCCAAGAGATGTGTGACTCAATTTTAAAAGCTATAAAAAAATTAAAAAATTATGCTTCAAAGGTGACACAACTCAAAATTCGCATCTTTTGTGTCAATATCATGAATGTAATTAGTACATATCAAATCATCAAAATTATTTTAACTTAGCTAAGAAAATACTCTACTAGATAATGCCATTTTTGAAATTTGATGTAGGGTTGTTTACTAATCCCATTTATGGTATTTACTCAAAAGATGTGGATTTTGGGATGTGTCAATTTTGAAGAAAGGATTGCTATACAGATTGTTAAATTTCTTACGGTCAATTTTTGACATTTTTTTCAAAGGATTCAAATCAAGCAAATGTGCTTCTTTCTATCAAACTACAAACATTTAAAGCAACCCGTGTACGTACCTTTCTGTATATTAAGGAACAAACTGCAATCCGCACTCTCATACCAACTCTTTGAGTTCCCAAATTCGTACTGTGTGAAATAATAATATTGGAAAAGGCTAGAACGATGACACTTGTCGCTAGACCCCAGCCTACTTCGTTCGGTTTTGGCGGTAATTGCTTGTTATAGAAATTAATATATTCGGCCAAAACTATGGGTTGTATCATTCTGTGGATGAAATAAAATAGGTAATTGTTTTCAGATATATCGAATTACAATGGAATCTATTCGTGATTAATTTTCGCGTGTCTGTCATTTGTCACCTATAAGTTGGATGTTTGTTTACTTACATGTGTTTGTTTTGGGCGGATTTTGTATTTGTGATTTTTTTAACTGTTTTTAGATAATATTTTCATTGCAATAGTGTTTTTGAGTTTCATTTAGTGTTAATTTAAATTTAAGTCTCGTGCTTTCGTCATAAATATAATATTTATCATGTATTGTGTATGGCTTAATTTGTTGGAAATATTCACGTATTGGTTGCTACAAGAACATCTAGAAATATGTATTTACTAAACCCAGGACATGTTTTATTATGTGGTTTAAAGGACATTTCAGGTACCAGACGTTTATTAGTGATGAACTTATTTAAAAATCTTACTAGATTTATTCTTATATTATTAAGTGAATTATGTATTACTTTGTATACATGTAAATGGTAATAAAACCGTCACAAATCAGATTACAGTTTGATTCTAAACAAAGTTTTGCAAAATTTCAATATTGTTAATTTGTAGATATCCATTTATCGTAAAAAACAAAATATTACGAATTGTACTTGGAAAATAATTAATACAACAGTTTTGATTTTGACATTAACACCATATAGATTGCAATTTGCTGGGGACTTTTTCGCAGATTTAATTTTTAATATAAACACTATCACATACTATGAGAAATAAACAAATTTAAAGCTAAAAAGTAAGAAAAAACTCGAATTGTAATTGATACAAATTAAAATGTAAACAATGAACACAAACACCAATGTTGCCAAATGATGAACTGATTTTAAAACAAAATTAATAAATGAACTGAAATTTTAAAAAAAATCAATATAATAAATCGGTTTTATAAAAAAAATCATTAAATAAATATAGAGTATGATTACATATACATATACACACATTTTGATTCATCAATAAAACGTCTTATCCACTTATTCAAGAGCTAAAATCCGACGACGTAGCGAAATTTTGCTACTTCTGGCAACACTGAACGATATCCTACTTATAGGGACCTTCTACAAATTTCCTCCAGAGGGCGTATCACTTAGCTTGAATCACGAATACCATCAGGAAACTTAAGAGCGATATCCATGGTTAGAAACAGGCTTAAAACGACTTCAAGGTTCTCTGTCTCAGTTTTAAATATTTTTTTATAAAATTTGGTATACGTACTAAGCAAATGATAGAGAACTCCGCTGTAGAGCCCGAATTCAGAAAAACTAATTTTTTAATTATTTCTATACAAATTATGAAAATTATTGCAAAAAGGAGTCTTTACCGGGAATTGTTATATAAAAATCAGCTAATTCTTTCCAATACACTTTTTTGTCCAAAGCGTATATTTTTTGAAAACCTTGAATTAGGAAATCTGAGAAAATCTGTCAAGATTCCAATCCATATTAATTGATTTGGCAACAAGGCGGCGGACGTTGGCGGTGCATGCAGTACCGGAAAATTGGGATAAAAATAAAATAATAAAAAACTTTATTCTTTTTAGTTCAAGTGTAGGTGTTTTTGTTTCGTATTTAGTCAATGTGTTTATATGAATTTTTATGTCTAAGCTGAGTTATAATAATTTGTGATAAAAATGGGAAAACTTTCGGAAATGCCGAAAATTATATTTCCGTTTCGACGGAAATCTATAAAATATCGTGCTAGATTACTTAGAAAAAGACAAACATTAGCACCCCTTCTAAGCATTAAAGTTAAAATATATGGGAAATTAATATACTAAGTATTGAATAAAAAAAAAAACCTTTAGCTTTAAAGCAATATTTACAAATTTAAAGCGGATATCCAATAAATGTGGTTTATTTGTGGATTCTGAATATGGTTTTTAGGTTCCGACGGTTTATTAGGAACAGACAGTATTATCGAAATTAAATATACTGCCACTGCTTCAAAACTGACTCCGAAAAAAGCAATGGTTGACAACATAATAAAATTTGCAATTATTAATGATAATGTGAAAATGCAATAATTGTTCAGGGGCAACTTAACGTAACTAAACGAAATATTTTTTTTTTTTTATTTATTTTAATACCTTTAAGTATGTTAGTAGAAAAAATAAAAAAGATGATAGATTTTGGTGTATATGGAAAACAAACTAAAGCAATTTTATTTAGATTGTATACTACCCGAGATCTTAGATCCACGTTTCACTAGAGGTTTAGATATTAGAAATTTGAGTAGAAATCCGACCAATAGTCAATAAAAATGATTATTTTTATTCCTTCTTTTACTAATAATAAATCATTTTACTCAATGTTATTTTTAAATATTTTTAGTACTAGAAAACAATTTTTTCTACACCCAAATGGATAGCGTATCTACGTACAGACTACAAAACGAAAAAATATGCTATTGCGTAAAATGAGTTATACTTGTGTAGAATCGATAAATAATAGCATTTCTAGTTTTATTTGATCTATATTTAGAAATAAATAATTATAAATTTTAATTAAACTATATGAAATCAATTTAATTTATATTCACTCATGTTACACAAACTACTATTTTCTACATCCACATGGATATGCTTTTTTCTATACCCACATGAATATTAGCTAATCTACGCACATACTACAAAACAAAAAAGTATTCCATTGCGTTCAACTGAACGAATATATTTCATATTCATTCTACCTAGTAAGAACACTGCAAAACAGTTAAATCCACCAATCAGATGGTCACCCGGCTACTATTATTTTTTAAATTTTATGTAGTCAAACTAACTGTCAGTATATTTTTGAATTATTGAGATTAAATATACGTAAAAATGAATATTTCTTATGTATAATCGATAAGTAATAGAATTTCTATTTTTATTTCGTCCAAATTTATAAACAAATCTTAAATTTTAATCAAACCATATAAAACTAATTTAATTACAAGTATTAGAACTATAATGGCAAGTGTGGCGACGGCACGGAGTTTGTCTCCAAGCGAGAGACCCGAGTTCCAATCATGGCTGGGGACTAATTAAATTAAATCTTTTTGTATGTTTATTTTATTTTATAAATTATTAAAAGTCATACATTATTTTAAAATTATTTATTTTGTCTTAATAAATTACTTTTTTAAATTTGTAGAATTTCGTTAGGGTGTCGTAGAAAAAATATACTGTACAACTCGAGTGGATTGTCTGTATCGCACTCAGACGATTAAGCACTCCGTCTACGGCGTCGTTCTGAAACTTCGTCTTCGTGCGATATGGCCATCATATCCAATTTTGTTGCACAAACTACTATTCACGCACAGACTACAAAACGAAAAAATATACTCTTGCGTTCAACTCAACGAATATATTTCATATCCATTCTGGGTAGTGAGAACACTGCAAAAAAATGAAATCCACCAATCACAGTTTATATATTGGACACCCAACAACTATTATTTTTAAAATTTTAAATAAGTGACAATTCTGTCAAACTAATTGTCAGTATATTTTTTAGGAATTGAGATTAAATATACATTAAAATGAGTTATTTTTGCGTAGGATTCATAAATAATTTTAATTTAGACCACAATTTAAAAAATCCTAAATTTGAATTAAACTACCTATATGAAACTAATTTAATTACTACTTTTAGAACTAAAATTTTAAATGTGGAGGTGAAAATGATGATACGGCATCTGTCTTTCACGCGAGAGGCCCGAGTTCAAATCTGGGCTGGGGACTAATTAAATGAAATATTTTTTCATGTTTATTTTATTTCACAAATTAGTAAAGTCATAAATTATTTTAAAATTAATTATTTTGTCTTTTCCTAAAATAATACTTTAAATTTGTAGATTTTCGTTAGTGGATCGTAGAAAAAAACATACTGTACAACTCCAGTGGATTGTCCACTGTTGTTGCACAAACTAGTATCAAATGGGTTATTATTTAAAAAACGTATTTTTATACAGGGTATTTGTACATAAGTACGAACGATTTTTGCAAATTGTTATCAAAGTTATTTTGTTAAAAAAAGTTCCTATAAAAGTAGGTCGAAATATGCTTCGTTTCCGAGATACAGAATGTTTAAATTTTAATTTATTAAATTTTATTAATTATTTTTAATAGTTTTAAAGATATTTACTCTAAATTTGCAAAAAAAACTTTGAAGGGGCAAATGTGTATTTTTTTGGGGTGTTCCAAATATTTCTACTTGTACCCGTGGCGTTTGTGCGAGAATGCCACTTTTTTAATAAAAAAGTACTGCGCCACTGACTTTTTCGATCTATGTTTTTTATATAAAATAACTTCGGCAAACATTCCCTAAAATCATTCACACTTACCAACAAACACCCTGTATATAAGAAAATGTAGAAATAGGTACATATGTATATTTAAAAAATATATTTCGTAAAATAAATAAATTAGTTATAAAAAAAAATTTTCGAAAATGTTACACCAGGTTATACCTTTAAAAAATATTTTGAACGAGAAAACAAAACAGAAATACTCTTTGTTAGACCGGACCTGCGATTTATCGGCATTTTTAATATTTTAAATCATCTATAGTTTATAAGTAATAAATTGAAGGGAGCGTAAGCCTGGGAATAGAGCAACGTTGCCAAAGTGGGTTCAGATGCACTGAAAGTTGTCAGTGTGTTCTAAATCTGAATTTGCTGTTAGGTGTTGCATGGATATCGCTCTTAATATAAATTATTTCTGTTCTGTTAAAGATACAAATTTTAAATTGTAGGTGATTATTCAAGATATAGGAGACAGAGAACAGTGTCCCGGACAGCTCCATAATATTTTATTGTATGTTATCTACTTCTTAAAAATAGATTCCGAATAAAACAAGAAAGAGTTTATAATAAAACCTTTTATACAAGTTTTCACATTTGCAACTTGTAACTTGTACCAATTGCTCAGTACGGCAGGGCCGGCCCCAGGGTAGGGCGATCCGGGCGGCCGCCCGGAGCGCAATGATCTAGGGGCGCCAAAATCATGGAAAATGAAAATAAACTGATAAAAAAATTAAGTTACAGGCTTTTATAAAATGCACTAAAAAGTAAAGAATATTTTTTTATCATTCTGATATATCAATAAATTATTTTTCATTAATATTGCATTGTCATCGGACCCTTGTAAGTATACCAAATTTAATTGAAATCGGTTCACGGGAATTTTCTCAAAAACGCGTTGCAAGATTTGACTGATAGTTGACAAGATTAAGAGGAGGCAGGGGGGGGGGGGGGGGGGGGGAATTTATCATTTTTATTTCTAAGCACATACTTCAAATAATATAATATATTTAAACATTAAGGCAAAATCTAGTTGAATTCAATTCAACATGACAAAACCACTCAACCACCGCCTTTCAAGAATTGACAAGTTTTTCGGCCCGTAGCAACACGACTGTACAGGAAACAACAATTTTGAAACCAAGCGAAACAAGATCTAACATATAAAAAGGAAGTAGATTTAAAACAATGCATTATTTGCCACTAGACTTCGGCCGGTGCGAAATAAAATAGTTTGTTTAAATTGTTAGTGCAAAAAGCTTTAAAAAAGTGCTTGTGCAAATTGTCCAGGGCGTTTGACTTCTGTGAAGGTGTTTTAATTTTTGTTTTCATTTATCAAAACTAAAAAAATCCATCAGACATAAGCCCAAAAAAGGGTGGGGGGGAGGGGTAGATTTGAAAAATTAGAGTTTAGATAAACATGGCTTATGTGGTATCAAATGAAAGGTAATTGAGTCTGGAGTTGAATGAAATACTTTTTTTTAAGTCAGTGACGCTTAAGGGGAGATTTCGAAAATTAGAGTTTAAATCAAATCATGGCTTGCTTGGTATCGAATGAAAGGTAATTGAGTCTGAAGTTGAATAAAATACATTTTTTTAAGCCAGTGGCGCACAAGGGGGGCATTTCAGAAATTATAATTTAAATCAAATCATGGCTTTTTTTGATACCAGTATTATCTTTTATTTTAATTAATTTGTTCCAGAAACCAAAATGTCCGATGCTAAGAGAAAACCCTCTGGGAGCGAATTTAAAAAGCGGAGATTGAACAAGCAAACACAGCTTCAAAAACAGTCAGATGCGCTGCAGAACTTCTTGAAAGAAGGTAGTTTCAACCCTCCCACAACCGACCATTTGAACAACGCCCAACACCTAGATACTGACTTTCCGGATATGGACCCCCCTTTGGACGCAACCGTCAGCATTACTGAACTAGGTAAGTCATCTCAAATGAGTTTGGCGAGTAGTGATGCAGTTCCGTGCAGTTCCAAAAATCAAAATTTGCAAGTTGTGCAGACTTCAGAGAAACATTTACAAAAGGCTACCGTCCAAAGTATCTCTTCTGACCCAGGATTATGGCCCGAAATCATGCGTGCAGCAGATAGTTTTTTTTGGTTAAACGTGGTCCAGCTGCACCTTTGTATAATTTTGATTTTCCTTTTGATGATCAGCATAGAAGATTCTCACCAAAACATTACAAGAAAAGGCTTAGAAATGGAGAAGAGATTTTAAGAGAATGGGTATATTCCGTATTTCAAAACGTTTTGTACTGTTTTGCATGTCGACTTTTTGCTGTACTATCTAGCTTGAGCGCTCTTGGCAATCGGGGATTTAAAGACGAAGCATTTAGGGGACTCTTTAGCACATCATGAAAATGCTAAAACTCATATAGATTGTTTGAAATCATGGCTTGAATTGAAGCAAAGATTGAAAATAGGTGAAACAATAGATGCAGTTTTTCAGAGATTCTGAGATAAATCACTGGTCTGAAGTTCTTTTACGCATTATATCAGTCGTTAAAATGCTAGATGAGAGCTCTGTAACTTTTCGAGGAACAAGCGATAAACTGTATGAACACAATAATGGAAACTTTTTGAAGTTAATTCAGTTATTGGTTTGATCCAAAAATGGAGGAACACGTTCGCAGACTCCTCAATAAAGAAGAAATCAAAGCTACATATCTAGGGAAAACTATACAAAATGAAATAAATGAATTATTGCATGACAACATAAAGCACCACATCATTGAGCAAGTTCAAAAGGCCAAGTATTATTCCGTGATTTTTGACTGTACTCCCGATGCAAATAAAGTAGAACATATGTCATTTGTGGTAAGATTTGTCTCCATACAGGAATCAGAGTCCGAAGTTCAAGTTAATATCAACGAACATTTTTTGGGTTTTTTACCCATTGAGAGATCAACAGCTAAGGAATTGTCGGAGGTTTTACTAGAAGAGCTAGAGAAAAATAGGCTTAAAGTAGAAAACATGCGCGGTCAAGGGTATGACAATGGTTCCAATATGAGAGTAGAAAAATCGGGAGTACAAACAAGAATCAGAAAAATAAACCCCAGAGCATTTTATGTTCCATGCCGCAGCCATTCGCTAAATTTGGCTGTAAACGATATGGCAAAATCCTCTTCAATATTGCTCAAAAGTTATATACATTTTTTTCTTCCTCTTCTTTTCGTTGGGCAATATTACTGAAATATATTGATACTTACACCTTAAATCCATTGAGTAATACGCGATGGGAAAGTCGAGTCGACTCATTAAAAGCTCTGCGGTTTCGAATTGGTCCAATTCACGATGCCTTGCACAGCATATATGAAGATTCAGAAATCGATAATATGATCAAAGACAAGACTAGCGGATTATTAAATAATTTGAAGCAGTTCAAATTTATATGCTCTGTTGTGATCTGGTACAAAATTTTGAGTCATATTAACCCCATCAGCAAACTTTTGCAAACTGTAAATTTTAATATGTCACAAGCTATTGATATGCTAAGCAACTGCAAACTCTTCTTTGAAAACCTGAGATCAGATGAAGCTTTTGAAAGCATCATTGTAGAAGCAACCGAGCTTGCTTCAGAGATTGACGTAGAAGCTAATTTCGAAACCACCACACCACGTCATCGTGTCAGAAGCAAAACAAGAACGTTTTTGTATAAGGGCCCGGATGAACCTGTTCAAGACCTCAAACAAAAATATAAAATACATTTTTTTTCACACTATAGATCAAGCAATAAATGCATTGGAAACCAGATATAATTTGCTAAATACAGTAATTATTTCAGCTTTTTGTATAATACTTTTGGTCTAAAAGACATGCCCAGAAATGAGCTACTGGCTCATTGCAAAGATTTGGAAGTAGTTTTAACTGATGGAAATTCAAGCGATCTTAACGCCCTTAAAAAAAACGGAAACCCCTGTTGAAGTTCTCAAGTTTATCGCTACACTTAAATTCGCACCAAACCTTTTCAAAACTAAAAATAATAAAAAATTATCTCAGAACGATGCAGACGCAAAATCGTCTCAATGGATTGGCAATGATAGCTATAGAACACCAAATTAGTGACAAATTAGACTTGAAATCACTGGTTCGTGAGTTTGCCGAAAGAAAAGTTAGAAAAAGGGCATTTTAATTACTTTAGTTAGTTAGAATTTATTTATAATATGGGATATTACTTTAGTTAGCATTACTACATTTTAATTTTTTTATTTTGCCTTAAGTGCTAAATTGCTTATCTTGTTATCTGATGATTGAGTTTTTAATAAAATGTTTTTTTTTTATTTTTTTTTTTTAACGTTTTCTTGACTTTCTGATATGGTCGCATGAGATTTACTTAAAAAGACAGGGGGGGGGGCGCAAAATTAAGGTTTTGCCCGGAGCGCCAAAATGTCTAGGGCCGACCCTGAGTACGGTTCTATTTCTTTTCAAATAAACAAATATGGCCGTTAATGAAACGCTACAAATTAAAAAATAAATGTAGGATTCTGTTTTCAGCTTTACACTTCGCACTTTTATTATACATACAGTTCTTAAAAATATACCTTTGCATTTTCAACGTTAATTTCTACAATTTAAGGCACATTAATTTGTCACAATATTGAATTGTTAGGAAATATTACTATTAGAATGTGAAAATTTTATACGTTTTGACTTTAAAAATGAAAATTTATAATCGCATTGTTGAAACAACAATAAATATTTAATAACACACGAAACAATGTAATATTTTTTAATCAATTAACTATACTTGAACTGGAACAGATTTTTTTTGTTTTGAAGGGCACAGGTGTTTAATTATTTTTAATCTTTTACCATAAAAATTAAAAGCTTTACGTATGTACATACTCTAAAAGTCATTGTTAAATGGTTTCAACTCACCTTATTATAATAAATTGGAAAAATAAAGCTAGCCCTGACAGCGTGTACGGTTTATAAAACGTCTGGAAAATTGCTTTTTTCAAACTCGGTTTCTTCTTATTTTGATTTCTGCATTTTTCAATATCGTTTTCCCAGTTTCTGAAATAATTAAAATAAAAATCGTACGTAGAGTGATACAAAATATGAAAATCATTCCTATGCACATTTTTTGTCCGAAAACATTTCGTTTTCTAATAACTAATATTAGTTAAATTATAAATGATACTAAAAATTCGTGAAACGTTTCACAAATCAATACATAAGCAGATTCGCAATGATGCCAAGTTAGGCTAGTCTCAGAGTTTCAGATACGTTTAAGGCTGTAGTAATCTTATAGTTCATTTCATAGCCTTTCAGTTGCACGTCATACGGCATCTATCTCGCTTTATCGCATTAAGTTGAAAGAAATGCAAAAAACGGTACGTCCACTATAAATTTTCGTGACGCAACAAAATCATGAGAGATCTGCACGTAGATATTAAATAACTATAATTGACTCAATACAGGCATTTCATTGGCTGCCGTTTGCTATACGTCATGGCCTCATAGTCAAATTGAAATCTTGAACACGCTCTTTTAGGGCTGTTACAATGGAACTGGACCTGTTACTTTGGAATAGGTATCTCCTGCCTATTCCGCGTACCTGTTACCAAATTTCACACAAACCTAGTACTTGTGTCACTGGTTGCTATCGCGAAACGGAATGATGTGGGGTTAGTCAGGCAACTTGTAATACGTTTGTGTACCTATTCAGTATTTTGGTATTAGGTTTCGTTTTTTGTTTGATGTTTCAACTCTCTTGCTTGTAGGTAGTTGTTTAGGGATTATAATATGTTTATAATACAGGAGTATTTACGAACTAGTGACATTTTTAGAATTATTCAAAGTAATTGTAATTGTACTGTAGGGTGCTTTCTTAGAAGGTGTTTTTTTTTTTAAATTAGACACTGGTTTTATAAGAAATTACTGTTTTGCACATTACATTTTGTAATTTATTTTTTGTCATCTACCACCGAAAAAAAAATTCCACACTACACTCGAACGTCTATTCATAATGAACAATAATTTAATTAATGTTATTATGTAAACAATAGCACGCTTTAAGTTCAATACAATATCGATCGATATTAAATATCAGAGACAATCCAGTATATTATGCTTATGGGATTCACTAGATTCAGGGATTCCCCTACTCCCTGCTGAATATTTGCCAAGCGACAATATTCTGTCATAAAATTTAGAATTAGAATAGCTTGTAACGAGAATAGGTATTTGGAATAGGTATCTACTTGGAACAGGTACAGGTCGTACTAGATACGTCAAAAAGCTATTCCGTAACAGCCCTACGCTCTTTAGCTATTTTTGATAAACGTCAAAGTGTACGTCTGACAGTTTTTATCAGACCAGTACTTCCATTAGTTCCATTTGTAATTATTGTGGTTAATCACATTTTTTAGAAGTTCGAATATTCTTTTTTATTTATTTATTTAGTTTGATAATTATAAACATGCCGAGGTATAGCGAAAAGAGCAAGCGTTTGTATTAAAACTGCTTGCTTATTTACAATTAGAAAAACAAGCCGGTAAAACTTTATTGCCCGTAAATGCTGTACATGAAGTAAGTTTCACATCTTAAAGTTTAGTAAAAATTCATTGATGATCAATTAATTTTAGCGTGTTTCGGCCGCCTTAGGAATATCGCTATCGACTGTAGGACGATTGGCAAATGAAGGTATTCAAGCAGATCGCGAATACTCCTCCGAGCAAATTGCTCGGAGGAATACTCAGCTGAAATGTCCGATTCTGTGAGCGTTAGCCGTGGTCCCAATACTTGGGAGAAATATGAACATGGTATCAGGACTTGTATATACAGAATGTTTAGTCAATGTTGGTATTTACTAAATACATATTTTTCAATCATGTTATTATGTTTCCATTTCACACACAAATTTGTTTAATTATTTTTTTTTGTAAACATTTTTTCTTATTGTAGGCGAGCATGTGACTCTTTATACGTTGAAGAAAAAATTAGAAGATGTATATGGGATAAATACATCAGTTTCTTCACTCAGTAGGACTTTAAAAGAATTAAGATTCAAGTGGATAAGCTGTAAAATTTCTAACAGAAAATATCTCATGGAACAGTCACATGTCACACGAAAAAGATTATGTTTTTACGAGATTTAAAAAAAATGAAAGTGATTCTCATCGTCTCAAGCCTGTATATCTTGATGAAACTTGGATATTCAGCAAAAGAGGATTTCGCAAAAGCTGGCAGGATGGTACCGATAAGGCAGTCAGAAAGAAGAGTAGTGAAGATGTACGATACATTGTTCATCATGCGGATTCTGAAAATGGGTTTATTAATGACTGTAGCTTGATATTTAAAAGTGGTAGTAAATCTGGCGATTATCATAATTCAATAAATGCTGATAATTTTGAAAGATGGTTTGAATATCAGCTTCTACCAAGCTTAGAAGAACCGTCATTAATAATAATAATGGACAATGCGTCGTACCATTCAACGTTGCTCGAAAGAATACCAAATGCACGTTGGAACAAAGTTTCTCTGATTAATTGGTTGAAAAAAAGGAATATACAGTTTCCAATGCCTAGTATGAAGTTCAAATTTTTAGAAATTGCCAAGAAACATGTACCAGATAAAGTATACAGGTATGTTATATGATATAATTTGATAAGTTATTAAAAATGCATATTTTACAGATTAGATAGATTAGCTCTTTTGCCTGGCCATCGTGTGTTGAGACTGCCTCCATATCATTGCCAGTTCAATCCAATTGAACTTGTTTGGTCTGAGTGTAAACGGTATTACGATGCAAAAATAACTTCGGCACAACGTATTACTGCAAATACTGTAATTAGTGTTTGGAACGAATCTCTTCAACAGGTTTAATGCAAAGTTTTTTCTTATGCTATGGTTTATAATTGTTATGTAATTGTAGATTACACTAGAAAAATGGAAGAGGTATGTAGACCATACAAGAAAAATTACTGATGAATATTGGGAGACTGCAAAAATCATTGATGCAAGTAATATCTCTCCTGTAATCATTGATTTAAACGAATCGGATAACGAATTAGATTGGGACTTGTAGGAAGACAACTCCGCATAATAAACGTTTATTGTATTGTATTCAAAAATGGCTGTTGTTCTACAAGTTTAACGTTACAAGTTTCATTAAATTTCAATGATTTCCAAGGTAATTAGTTTATCGAATAAAACTTATGTGATTTTTTAAACAGATCTAATTTCTTATTGTAGGTTTCATCCGGCAAGTGATCCATGTTGTCGTATAATAACTAATTTTAGGAATTTATTTACTAATGTTATATTATTTATGATAATAAATATCAATTAAAAATACATTTTGTTTAATTTTATAATGTTTTGATATCACAATTCTTATTAATTTCAAAGCCTTTTCCTATTTGGCTCAATACGATCCTGACAACTGTCAAAATTTTGTAGAGTCGCCATCAAATTTCATGTAGTAATCAAAGACATGCCGAAAACATGATATTACGTCATATTTGGTGACGTGCAACTAAAAGGCTATGCAATGAACTATAGAAGCATTTTTTCTCCATTTTGCTTCATTAATCACGAGGTAAAAATAACGAAGCTAAAAAATTTGCTTAATAAATATTCTTTTATACAGTTCGGTATTATTTATAATAGCACGTTTTGAAACATTCATAAAAAGCTTATTAATTAAGGCTGTTTGTCACGACACTACATAGCTTCCTTCGCGGTAAGAATCCCGAACTGATTCAGAACTACTAATTCATACTTGGAGGGCATGACCGATTCATTATCAATTCTTACCGGTGATTTTTGGTATATCGCTTTTGACGAATTCTACAAGCTGTTAAAATAAATGACGGAACTTTGAAAACACCCTGTATACAACAATTTATTACCCAACACAACATGTTCAACTAAAAATATATTGAAAATTGAAACTGACTAAAATTATTAAGTATTAATTTCAAAAGAATATGTTTCACTAGATTTATTTTGTGGAAATGTAGGTAAATGAATTTAAAAACGTTTATATTTCTAAATCACTTTTACAGTCACTAATTTCATGTTCTGAAATAATATCACTAATGATAGTACCATCCAAATTTATTTAAATTTTTTGAATTGTATCGTTAAATCTCATATATTTCTTCTCGATTTTTTTAACATGTTGAATAGCGTTTTTCCAATTTTCAACAGTTATACAGTTAAATGCATTTGCTACTACATCGATTACAGAAGAAGTGGACTTAGGAGAAGAGTTATTTGCTCGAAAATAGTTTTTTAACTGTGACCATAATAATTCTATAGGGTTATAGTGGTAGGGTGGTAAACGTAAAACTTTAAATCCGTGTTTTATTGCTATAGTGTCAATAACATATTCAGGTTGAAAATCAACCAAGTGTAAAAGTTCTATTAACTATTTTTTTGTGTAGTCTTCTTCAAAAAATATATCATTCTCCATCAGAAAGTCCTGAATCACTGATTGCGTAGAAATGGTATTTGGTTTTTTTCGTACCAACCAAGAATGGTAAGTGGCATTATCTAAAACTATTACGTTATTTTCATTTAGTTTTGGTAGTAATGTACTGTCAAACCATTTTTCAAAAAGAGTATATGTCCTGGTGGTAGTCCAAACTACTATCCCGTACTTCCATAACTAAATATGCACGATATACCCAACTCTACAATTGATTAAAAGCACAACGTAAGCACAGTCGCTATGAGTGAAGTTGCTGAAGGACCGCCCAATGTGCACGACATCCTACCTTCAGTTGGGTATATCGTGAATACTACCCGGAAATTATATGTTTTAATCCTACAGGTACCTTACACTTTTATTAGGTACTTTCACTTTTATTACAATGTTATTGAGACAATCTGTTTTTCCGAATACGAAAATAAAAATCGACTCAGTCTGTTTTTTTTGAAAAATTATTAATACAATTGTTTATCAAACCTTTAGTATTATTGGGAGCTTTCAAATACTAAATTTCAATTCAATTATTTTTTCCGATACCTCATAGCCATTAACCTTTTTCATGGCACAATAATCT